CGCTTGCGTCTGCTTGCGCGTTCCACTGCGGTCTCTACCTCCGCGGCATACGCGGATAGCACACCGCCGCCTCATCCGCCTCGGCAGCCCCACACATCGACCTGCAGCTTCCAGGTGCCTGTGCCTCCTCTATCCCCATTTCTAACACCAACATCTTACCGCTTAAGAACGAGTAACATCGTCAAAGATAATGTTGCTGAATGTCTCTGTTTGTGTCTGTCTGTATCGCCGGCTTCAAGTAGAATGGTTCAACTGCTCTGTTCCTTTCCAATATTATGAGGCGGCGAGGCCACTATACGAGTTTCTGTTTGAGGGATTCTTTCCACTCATCCTCGTATTTTGTTGGTCATTTCTAATTGTGGACGAAAACTTTCGCCATCCGTTCCATTATGGTAGAGAGTGGGACTGTGAAAGAATTTATGGCTTTTTGCTTCAGTTATTATGAATCGGACGATATGTGGCTCAAATGTGTGCAGGAGCAAAAGGTATTTTGTTTTAAGTAGCTTTGACCAAAAAATTAAAAACGTTTCTATCCTGTTCATTTCATTTAGAGCGTTATTTCTTTGTCCATAAAATTGGTGTTCAATATTACCTTTGTTCTTCCTTGTCGAACTATAAGTCAAGTGTTTCCTTTCTGCATGAGAGTTATCAATTTAAATCCTCTGTTCTGAATCTTCTGTAAATGTTCAGTTCTACTGTATCTCTCTGACTTGTCCTGTATAAACAACCCTGTTTTCGTTGTAGCCCATATTTTCTCAGAATTGTTGAACTGATTTCTGTTCGAAATGATGGAGGCCCTGTCTCAGTTGGAATGTTAACATGTATCTTTGATGAGGCTATCAGAAATCGGAGCCTTTGTAGATTTTGGTGTAGACTGTTTATGTTTTTTTCCTTTTAAGTTTATGCTAATTCAAGGATCCAATGGTTTATTAAACATGAAAAATATATTGCAAAACCTGATGGGCATCCTTTTGTATTGATTATTTTTCATGGCTTATTTCGCATTGAATCGCTATATCCATGCTTTTCAGGTTTTTACTGCTCCTTTCAGTTCTCCAATTCTCAAGAGAAAAATATTGGCGTTTACATTATCAAAAGTAAGTTGTCAGACATCTTATTTCTACCTTGTATGAACTTTAGTGGTTCGTGTTTGCAACTATCAAACGTCAAAGCTAGGATAGGAAGTGAGGTTGATAATTATGTTTCTAGGATATATTTGAATGTTTATGCCTTGCGCCCTTGTCTTGCACCCTTTCAGTCTGATGACACATTTCTAACTGAAAAGGTGGTTTGCTTGAGGTTTAAATTTGGGAGGTCCTATATGATGCTCATCTGTAGTTGCAGACAAAAAAAAATTGCTATGCGTCCCATTATGATAAGATACTAAGATATGGAATGCAAAAGAATTTATGATTTTTCGTTTGCTTCAATCAGTTATTGTTTAGGTAACAGTTGTATGTGAATATGGGCCTGAGATGTCCAGAAGGTGTCAAGGAGTAAAAGAATCGAGTTTATGTAGGTCAAAGAGGTGTCAAGGAGCAAATGCATTTTTGTTTTACGTAACTTTGATCAAAAGAGGGCTTAGCGCTATTCTGTTAAATTCAGAGCATCATCTCATAGTCTAGAAAGTAGGTTGCATATTACCCTTGTTCTTTCTTGTGGAGCCAAGTGTTTACTTTCTGCATGTGAGTTCTGGATTGAAATACTCTATTCTGAAAATTTTGTAAATGTTCAGTTCCATTGTGCTTCTGTGACATGTTCTGTATACATAAAACTTTTTTCCATGCGGCGCACATTTTCCAAACTTGCTGAACATATTTCTTTTGGAAATGAAATGATGGAGGCCCTGTTTTTCTTTTTCTTTTTTGCATGCCTTATTTATTACATAATTGTAGTCATGACTTGTACAACTATTTGGATGCTTTTGCAGGCGTTTTCTGCTCCTCTCAGGCCTACAATTCTCAATAGAAAATTTTGGCATTGCCATTGTCAAAGTAAGTTGTCAAAATCTTATTCTACCTTATATGAACTTTCATGGTTTGTGCACATATATGTCAAACGTTAAGGCTGGAATTTGGAGTAGGAGGTAATGAGGTTGATATCAACATTCCCAACTGAAGAGGTTGTTGATTAATCCTGACAAGTATCATCCTACTGGGTTGCTTCGTGTAAGGTTTAAAGTTGGGAGGTCCCATAGGATACCCTCCCTACAGAATTTTGGTATTCCAAATTTTAGATACGGATAGGATATGGGCTTAATTATGCTGAATTAAAATCACAACAGCGCTGACTGATATAATAAGATAAAATTCTGCTTTGTTAGCACTTTCAATGATTGCTATCTGGAGCAGTTATCTTGTTATCGGATGAAACTGTTGTAGGGACTGCTAATTCAGTACACTGTTCTTCAGCATCAACAAGCGACATAAAGAATGCCGTGTATGCCACTATCCCCACATGTCATAGACACAGATGGTCCCCCCATGTCATTGATAATTCCTTACATGCCATTGTAAACTTTCATGATCCCGTATATGCCATTGATGTGTGAATGACATGTGGGACCATCTGTGTCTATGACGACAGTGGCATACACGGGATTCTGAAGTTTATCAATGGCATGGAAGGAATTATTCCTGTGATAAACAGATACCACTGAATCGTTAGCATACTTCTCAAAGTAGCTCCCTACGGGTTGATTGGCTAGTGTTCCACAATTTGCTCGAGCAGCCGCACCGCCGCCTTCCTTGCCCTTTCCGTGCCGTTTAGCGCCAGCTCCCGCAACGGGACCATTATTCCGCACTGCTGCGCACGAGCCAAATGAACAAGTTGCTTATCGCCACTGCAAAGCTGCAACATCACAGCTGCAGCATTCTCTCTATTTCTCGGTGTCCCGCTTCCAATCATTTCCACAAGCACAGGGATAGGCTCTGCTGCCCCGATCGCTGCCGTTCCCTCAGGGTGGCTGGACAGTATTGAAAGTATTGCCATAGACTCGTCCATGAGAGCTCCAGTGGGGTTTTTCACCAGCCCCATGATGAGCGGTACAAGGCCAGCTCGTATGGCACGACCTTTGTTGCTTCGGCAATTGCACAAGTTGACAAGAGCTGCTGCTGCATCCTTCTTCCCACGCTGGCTACCCTCACTTAACAAAACTACAAGGGCAGGGATAGCCCCTGTTTTCCCAATTGTTACTCTGTATTCATCGATCACCGAGAGGCTAGAAAGTGTAGCTGCAGCATTCTCCCGTGTCTCCATGCTGCCATTCTTGAGGACATGAACTATACCCGGCACAGCACCAGAGGATATGATGCTAGCCTTATTATCCTCATGTATGGAAAGGTACAGAAGTGCAGTAACAGCATGCTCTTGTGTCCGCAGGTCAGATGACGACAGTAGACTCGATAACAAGGGAATAGCACCAGCCTCAGCAATGCATATCCGGTTTGCATTTCGGTTTGCTAGCAGACGGAGCTCTGAAGCAGCTGACCTCTGCTCCTCAGGATGCGGAGAGCGCAACTTGGACAGAAGAGCATCCATGTTAGCGTGTTCGCTCAAAGAGCATGCGGATGTAGGCTTGTTAGGATGCGACGAGCGCTTCGGTGGCTCAATCCCATTTGCTTCACACCACTGGGCAATAAGATTTCTAAGAACATAGTTTGGTGTCAGAGTTGTATTTGTCATTCTCTGCTGCGTAGCTGGACAAAAAGGATGGCGCCCAGAAGCAAGCCATTTCTCGATGCACGCCCGCTCGTATGTCTGCAAAATTGACATATCAGAATATGCACTGAAGTGGTATTGTACTTTAGTATGAAAGAATTGAATCAGGTACAGCCACCTGGCCAGTAACAACAATAACAGGATCTTTCATTAGCTCGAGAGAAATAGGACACCGGAAATCATCAGGAATGGTTACAGGTCTTGGTTCGCCGTTGAAATCCAATAGGAGCCACTTCGAAGCTATAGGTGGGCCTAACTCAGGGTTCTGAGTTTGCACAAAGTCTTTGATCTTCTTAAGCAGCATTGACATTTTCTCGATGTGTCCCCCTGGGTCCTGACCACCGTCAGATGCCACCATCTCATGCAGAGCTAGAGATGCACGTGTCAGATAGGTGATGGTCTTCAGGTTTAATTTTTGTGACAACATTTTATGCATAGCAGGGTCAGTGCGTGGGTCATAATTAATGTTATCCAGAGACGGCATGTCATTGTAGAACCCATCATCGGGCATATAGACCCATTCTTTTGCACTTTTCAGCTGTGCATGAATGAATTCAACCTGGAGAGTGATTATTATAATTATCTCCCGACTTATTATGTGCTTAATTAACAAAAATAGCAAATTATTACCTTCAGTTGTGTTTATTAATGTTACCTGCTCTCTAGCTTCATCTGATATATTTGGCTTACTGAATGCAAAACCAAGCAAAGCTTGCTCCAGCGGAGTAATTACTTCTTCAAACTTTATTAGATAATCCCTCTCAAGGACCTGGAAAGCACACACGAAAAGAAAACAGAGAGGAAATTGAACTAAATAAATGGTTGGAACTGGAAGGTGACAACGGAGGCAGAGACCGGCGGAGCGTGAACGGAAACACAAGGGGACTCATTTGCTATAGTTTTAACCAGCAAAATCCATGCGCCTTGGATATAGTCCTTGGCTAGTTAATGCTACGTAACGGCCGACTGATGGGTTGCTATATTTGATGCGCGTTTTCAATTGTTATGTGTCAACCATTGACCCGGTCTACCAGGTTCTCCGTCAGACTGTCACCACACTTTTTTTTTGGGGGGGTGGGGGGGGGGGGGGGGGGGGGGGGTGTTCGCCTGAGGGGCCAAGTTGAAAAATGTTAGCATTAGTTATTGGTGATCAGAACTAGGCACAAGGCTTCGATCGTGTCTATATATAAGGGAGTACTTGCCCGCATTTTCAATCGACCCACAACAGATATGGATCAGCTGCTTCCGGTGAAGACAAAAAGGCAGGAAGAGGAAGATCGTGTGGGGAAACGGGGATTGAACCCGTGACTTCTGGCGTGACAAACAAGCACTCTAGCCAACTATGCTATTCCCCCTTTCGAAACTACTATCGATTCAACAGTCACCAACCGGTTAAATTGTAGTTTACTATACAAAAACCAAAGTACTTGTATATTCAATATTTCCTATCAGAATGGTGTTTCTTGAATAAATTTTGTGCTCTTACCTATCCCCATCTATTCTCTATAATTTTGTTAGATGATGAACCCATTTTCCCCCTCTTTGGTGATTTTCATGTTACCTCTTTGAGCTGATATTTTTAAAGATTTTTCATGTTTCCCAACGTGATATAGCATTTGCAAATACCTATTGAATAATCACGGATCACTCCATTTTAATGGTACTGCATGTATATTTGGAGATTTTGCATTTCTTCATTCACCTAAAGTTTTAAAATTGCCCTGAAAATCATGATGATTTCTTGATGTTTTTATTTGTTCCCTATTGTGCCATGGTCCAACTTTGGAAGGATCCAAGGTTGACCCCCCCCCCCCCCCCCCCTTCCAAAAAAAAAACAATCACGAATCTTGATTATATTCCGTCATCCATAACAAATTTAATTATTTGTTTCATTCCATCTCAATTCACTCCTAATTAACTCGTAACCTTACCGGTATGTGAAGCATCCTGATAATTTGTTGGATTGTTGGTCGTTTCATCCGATCTCGTTCCACGCACAGCAGACCAATCTGAATGCATCTTCTTATTTGCAGGCAATCAATTTGTCTGGATGTATACCCAGGTGATTTTTCAAGCCTATTTCTCCAATTTTTAAGCACCTGTGAAATCAGATAATATAAACCATAATGTGTTATTACTACTGCTACGCAAATAAAAAATGTAATGGCATGTCTGAAGAAGGACCTCTGCCATGAAAGGTGGAATTCACTTACAAGCTCAATGAACTCCTGGGAAGATGTTCCAGCCTCTTCTGGGTAGTCTTTACGTCCCGTCATGATCTCTATGATTATTACACCCAAACTGAATATGTCTAACTTTTTTGTGATTATACCTCTCTCCACGTATTCTGGCGGCATGTAACCTCTGTATTTCAGCATGTCAATTCAAAGCGTTTTAAGAACTACAAATAAAAGGGCATTTTGATATTGACCAGTAATGAATCGAGAGGTATTTAACTTACAATGTTCCATGCCAATTTAGAGTGCGTGTTCTAGTTTTCTCCGCACCAAAGAGTCTGGACAAACCGAAGTCAGCAATTTTTGGCACCATATTGTCATCTAGCAATATGTTTGTAGGTTTCAGGTCCATGTGAATAATAGGGGTAACTTGCCCCTTCTCTTGTAGGTAATGTAAACCATTGCAAATACCCTCAAGGATTTTGTAGCGAGTAACCCAATCAAGTCCAGAAGATTCATCTGCATTTTTAATAGTGATATCTGAATAAAATACAACTGTTCTCTAAGTGAATAGGAACTATTATTTAACCAGGTGAATTGTAATTCCAACTTCAAGAAAGGAAAATAGCATGATATAACCATATTTGGATTTTCATACCTGAAAGATGCCCATGAAGGCTCCCATTAGGCAAGTACTCCAAGCAAAGTAACTTTTCTGACTTCTCTGCATAAACACATCTCCCGTTGTACTCTGTAAGTATACTTTCTATTTCAGAAGAGTAGCCTAAAAGTTGCACTATATTTGGGTGCTTAAGCCTCATAAGATGATTGACTTCATTCTCAAATTGCACATCCTGAATTCCTGGCATTGTTGACATAAGCCTCTTCACAGCAACCATGTACCCACTTTGTAGCACTCCCTGTCGATACAGATAAGTGTTTCTTAATAAAGTGTGGACACATATTTTAGAAGATGGAAAGATAATATAAACTCTTACCTTATACACCTTACCAAAACCTCCTTCACCAAGTAGTCGCTCTTCAGAGAAATTGTTTGTGATATTTCTCAAATCTTCAAGTGGTAGTTTATGTGGCCCTAAACTTTGATATTGTAATATACTATCCAGCTTATCATGTTTACTTGACTCAATATCCATCTTAATTTTGATTTATGACTGCAAAAGCACTTTAAACCAAGGTTCACAAAACCGGTGGAAACCGGACCGGAAACCACGGAAACCGGACTAACCGGTCTGGTCGGGTTACCCCAGACAACCGGTTTTTAGATTCAAAATTCAATAAAAATGAAATTTCAGAAACCAGAAAACCGGAAGGTAAACCAGAAATACCGATCGGTAAACCAAGAAAACAGACCAATAAGAAACCGACAAAAATGTTAGCAAACTGGAAAAACCATTTGGGAAATCCGCTCGGTTTGATTTCAAATTTAATCCAAATTCAAGTTTAAACTTTTGGTCGGTTTCTGGGCTGGTTTTTACGAAAACCGGACTAACCGGTCCGGTCCGGTTTCCTCGGTTAGACCGGTAAGGGAAACCCTGCTTTAAACACAATAGTGAACATCAGTTTGCCAGTCTTCCAGATTGAATGGTGCCTTCAATAAGTCTCCTTCATAACTTCGACTTCTGAGTGAAACGATTCTACAAAACTGAATAATTGTACACTTGTGAGTAGAGCGAAATTCTCAACATATACGAAATTTGCTTCAGCATGTTACTTTAGAAGTACACAAATTAAACCGCTGCCATGAAGACAGTTTCGTTAAGATAAAGGCCATGAAGACAATTACTAGGCGTATATTCCTCCATGATGCAAAGTAATTTACGCCGAACAGATTGGAACATGGGAGCATGCTAGTTTTCAAACACTATGCCTCTCGTTTGTCGATTGGGTTTCGGGTTGACGAAGGGAAGGCGCATGGCCCCTGCCAACTCCTCTTGCTCCTCCACTACGCCCTACAGTCGTCTTGTCACTGTGATAAGAGTAACGAAAATAAATTGGTGCACTATGGCTCCCGCGTCCTAAATATCCGATGGCTCATATCTCATCCAAATCACACTACTAACAGAGACGAGTTAACGACGTCAGCTCAGTTTAGGTTGACTAAATATCAGTATTAATAGGTTGATCAAAAGGGACATACCACAACAAGGATTAGTGGCCCAAATCAGACTCCAATGAACTCGATCTGGACAGACAATTGACTTGTTAATTTCTAATATACCGAGTACTTCTCCTATTGTGAGTCCTCATGTACAGACAATGGACTTGTTAATTTTCAATATACTGAAGAAAATTCAATCCTCATGTAGCTTTCTTCCTCTTCTCCTATTAGTTTTCTCGAGTTCCCAGAGGACTAAAAAACTGAAGAAACGCTTCTCTGCTGCTAGTAATAAGCCATTCCTGGAAGAAGGATGTGATGGCGAGAGCCGAGAGACATATGCGCTGACCCACACAACCAAGCAAGAATCGAAAGATTAATCAATTTCTCAGCACATCGATTAGCGCTTACAAGTTACCACGAAACCAAAGAATTGCCCATCGATTAGTGATTGCGTACTTCAAAAACATAAGCGCGCGCGCACACACACACCCCCCACAGAATCGATTAGCGTGTGCGAACCAAGCAAGAATCCAAAAAGAACCCGATTACACCCTGACAGAAGCAAGCTAGATTTGGCTATTCCCATGTAATTAATCAGATGAAAAAATCAGCCAACAAAGCGTTAACGCTTTTGGAAGAAAACGGAGGACTTCATTTTTTTTATATGATGTGTAGCCAATCCACTATGCTCATCATATAAAAAAAAAGTGATTGATTTAGCACTTTTTTGGAAGAAAATCAACATTTACTAGATAATAAGCTTCACGTTCTCGAAAAAGAAGATAATAAGCTGAGGCAGATTTGAAAATACACCTTTACTTATCGAGCTTTGTGCGCCACTCCTGTTTAACGAGTCTCATAGTTTTGATACATAATTGGATCATCTTGATGATAAATGGATACTATGCTTAGTCCAATATATGCTCGTACTGCGGATCTTGAATGATCATGCTGTCATACTCGGTGTCGAGTTTTTACCCCCAAAATGTAAAACGTTGAAGGACTCAACGTTTGAGTATAAAAATCCAATGAAATAAAATCAAATAACACTCAGAAGAGCACAAATTAAGCTGAGAAAGAAGGTTGAAGATGGCCTTTGGACAGACCAGATTCAAGGCAGGATGCAAGGCTAGGTAAAAGATTTGGAAGAGGAAGATGTAAGTTTGAATTACCCTGGTGTCTTCCCATGTAAATTCTGCGTCCGGAAACTCTAGGCTGGAATAGGCTCCTGGGATCAACCTCCTGGCATGGTCCTTGAGATTTTTCTTTCTTTCCTTCCGTGTGTGTATGCCCGGGCGTGGAGAGCCGGAGACAGAAAAAATGAGCGCGGACTTTTGACGTCCCTAGGAAAGAAATGGCATGCACGTGATTTTTGGAAGAAGTTTCCTACGGCGCTCACTGGAGTAGGAATTAAAAAGTCCACCCGAGCATTGATAGGAAATTTGGTTGAATGAATAATGTCGCGATCCCAGAAAGAGACAGGAATAGGATGGATCGGAACAACTAGGAAAGTAAGGCGCGCTCCGCCGCGCCTATTGGCTATTAGGCACATTGCTAATTACCAAGCAAATTCCAGAAAATATTAGCTAATGCTTGAGAGAGGCACACGGCTCACTTAAAGTTTGCAAGCCCAACTCGGTTGGCCTATTTGTTTTCCTTTCACGTTGGAGCGTCAATTTTTTTAAGAAAAAACAAAAGCAGGCAGCCACGTGCGGCTAGAAGCAAGGCCAACGTGTCCTCCCGTTCACCACAAGTTGCATCAGTTGTCCCCAAACTCGCACCATTCTTCTTATCCATTGAGCATTCTCTCTCTCTCTCTCTCTCTCCAGAATGCAGAAGCACGCAAAGTCTTCCTCCTCGCTCACTCGGCTGCGTTCCTCTTCCTCGCTCGCTCTTCTGCTCCGGCGCAGCAGCGTCCACTGCTTGGGCCCCAAAGCCAGAACAGGACAGCGGCGACGCTCATCACAATCTCGCCCCGGGGTAGGGGAGCGCAAGGCCGCGAGCATCCGTCCTGTCCTGTATGCCTCGGACTGCAGCGTCTCCCAGCCGGAGCGAG